TCAATCCACAATAAAAACCTTAAATTAAAAAAAAAAGGACTGGTTCTTCTACTGGTTTGGGCCACAGATTTTGTGATGACTGACTCATGTCAAATAGTTTAACCTATTTCAATAACCGCTTATAGATGGAAATATTCATCCGACACTTTTAAGAAACTGGAATGTCATCCTTCGATTTGACTTTTAAACTCCTCTGTACACCAGCAAAACAACACAATTTTTGAACCTTATAAGGAAGAAGTCTGTTCTGGAACTCCTCTGATTTCAAAGTCTCGTCCTGGAGTTCTTGAAAACGAGGACAATTGTTGAAGGGCATGTACAGCAACTAAAGATAAGAGAAAAAGAAAAACACCTTTATAAGTCAGAAGAACCTGGCTTAAAAACAACTGTACCCACATTTTAACCTTTACCAAGTCCAAATTGACATAAATAAATGATTCAAAGGTGCTTTGAGCTAAAGGTAAATTCTAACTCTGGAAGAAAAGACATAAAGGGTTTGAAAAATCAGTCACTGCAAACCAGTTGTTCTCTGACACACATATGGTCACCATGAGTTGTAGCTGATTCGATGGCAACTATTTTTGTTGTTATTAGTTTATTTCTTAATTCTTAAAATATGAGGATTTACTTCTTAAAATATGAATGTTTAGTAGTTAATCTTGCTTCCTTTCTATTACCTTTCATTTCTAGCAGCAGCTACACATAGGCAGTTTGTGTAAGCACACAGAGAGAAGAAGTTAAATCAGAGTTTGGAATCAATATAAGGTGAGGAAATTGAGGCATAGAGTGATTAAAATCCTAGCCCATCCCCTTCTTTAGTAAAGGTTGCTAAATTATGCAAGAATATATTTTAATACATATTCAGAACGAAGTGACCATCCTAAAATGGATTTAAGCTTGACAATCTTTCCAACTGACTTAACATAGTCCACAAAGACAACGTTCTACATTCTACTCTGGTGAGCTGTGACTGGGATCTTAAAAGCTTTCCCTGTCTGGAGCAAAGAAGAGTTACAGAAACTGAAGACACTTGGAAACAATAGTCCAATGGGCTGCTGGACCACAGGGAACATCAGTCTCCACTACCCTGAGACCAGAGGAACTAGATGGTGCTTGGTTATCACTACCAACTGCTCTGAAATAGATCACATTAGGAGGTCCTAGATACAGTGGGGAAAATGTGTAACAATACTCAAAATCATTAAAAAGACAAGGCTTACTGGTCAGATAGAGACTGGTAAAACCCCAAAATGATGGACC